AACAAACATGGCCACCTCACAACTTAAACCCTGACAACTGCGGTACTTGACAAACAAACATGGCCACCTCACAGCTTAACCTGGACAGCTTAAACGCTGGCAGGCGCAGTAATTCAGAAGCTAACATGGCCACTACACAGCGTAAACCCTGGCAGGGGCAGTTTTTGACAAGCAAACATGGCCACCTCACAGCTTAGCCCGTGGCAAGTATTTAACAAACAAACGTGGCCACCTCACAGCTTCAGCCGCGGCAGGGTTTAAGCTATGGGGTGGCCACGTTTCCTTTTGAAATATTGCGCCTGCCAAGGTTTGTGCACAGAAACCTGCCGTGTAGTGCCACAACGGGCGGCACTACACGCTCACCCTCTGTGATTTTGGCGCGACGCAGAGCGCAAATACTGCGCCTGCCAGAAAAATCGGCACTAAACGCTTCGCACTGTGGTAAAACAGCGATTTTTAGATGCGACCGTTTGGGCGTGTAGTACCCCACTAAACGCTCCGCGCTGTGGCCGGAGACACATTTTCGCCGTTTCCTGGCGTTCGGTTGTAATTATTTTTTAAAGATCAATATAGTTTAGAAAAAAGAGCCACTACACGCTACACGCTGGACCTGTTTTGCTGGTTTTTTTCCACGGTAAAAGGCGTGTAGTGCCACAACTGTCGTACTAAACGCTCACCCTCTGTAGGTTCAGTGTCACACACGCCGTAAATACCGCACCTGCCACCAAAATCTGCACTAAACGCTGTCAGTTTTCACACCGTGAATGCCAGAAGTATTGCACATGCCAAGCAAATCAAACCCGCAGGGGCGGCAGCAAAGTTAGCGCAAAACAGCGCGCTTTCTGTAAGACGGGAAAAAGGCATTTGCATCCTCTGTTGCAACTCCGGCTCTCGACCATGCGAACTTGGAGCAAAACAAACAATCTTTCAGGGTGAGCCTGGCGGCAGGCTTCAAAGCAGGCTTCGAGGCAGCCTCGAGGCTATAGAAATTGCAACAAAACAAAAAATGTAAGGATGAGGGAGAATTTTCGAGGCAAGCCTCGACGGATGAAATTAGAGAGCAAATGCACATGAATGTCTATATTTTTAAACAGGTTTCACCTTCATTGAAAGGGCCGTTGCAACTTTACGCTTTACATGGGCCAATGTTCCTTTTTGTTGACCGTCTTGGCTTTTCGCTGTCCCCTCTCGGTCTATTCCCAATTGACATTGAGTGCGGGATAAAAATTGTAGCTGTGTTCGTATCAGCAAAAAATACACTTTCTAGGCACCAACCCACCAACCCAGATCCAGGAAGTGTGTCAACGACATCAGTCCAAAACAAACAGCCACCTGCACCAAATGCAAGCAACCAAAACAATCAGTCCACGCAGACAGGAGTCAAGAAATTCAGCAGCCCCAAACGAACGCCAACAAGACATTCAGCAGCCAAAGACTTTAGTGTTTGGCGACAAGCCTGCTTCATCATGGCCCCGAAAACAGGATCCAAAAAACTAGTAAAAACATGGCGGCCATAAAGGGACCTCGACTGTACAAGAAACAAATTGGGACGCACAGAGAGAAAAAGCATGTGTTAACACTTACGCTCATGCTTGCAAAACATCTGCGGGCAGCAGCAAAAATTTCCGATGGCTGGCCCCACTTTTGGGTCCATGGGTCCAAATCTGGACCCCAAAACGGGGCCCAAGCAAAGACTTAAAAGAAGGAATGAAAATGTGATCCAATTCTGCAACCCATTTTGGGGTTCATATTTGGACCCAAAAATGGGGTCAGCCATCGGAGAATTTCGATGCTGCCCGCAAATGTTTTGCAAGCAGATTTGCGACCCAGCAGCTTGAACATGAATGTCAACACATACCTTTTTCTATTTGTGCGTCCCAAGGCCGCTTGCTACTGTCGAGGTCCCTCTATCGCAGCCATGTTTTGAGCACTTTTTTCGGCCCTGTTTTGGGGGCCATGATGAAGCAGATTTGTTGGCATTCGAGGCGCTCCGAGGCTCACCGAGGCCTGCCCGAGGCCACGCCTCGGACGCAAAACGTAATGGAACGAGGACAAAGCGAGGCTCGAATCTATATAATACACGTCAAGACTGAATGATCTGAAACCAAAAAACGCTGGCGATGATCACCAGCCAAGATATCCATTGCTTTCATGAAAGCCTGCAGTCCAAAATGTGGACACATGCCCCGTGTGGGACCTTAACTTCAAAGCACATGCAGATTTTCGTCCCTCGATATGTTCCGTTTCTCTTGCGAAACAAAGAAGATACCATGTGGCCGCCATGGCCTCACCTCCATGTGATCCTGCATTTTTTCTCCCGTTAGTTTTTGCGCGGGCAGCGCAGAACCCCCACACCTCCCGCGGCAATGCTACTGGTGGAACGCTGTAAAGAAGCATATGACAGCTTCAGTCCATCTCACACTGACGCCATTCAAAAGCTTAATCCCGTGGCAGGCGCAGTACTTTTGGCAGCTAGCAAACCCAGTCGCAGGCACTATTTTCAGAAGGCAAACGTGGCACATCACAGCTTAAACCGTGCAAGCGCAGCTTCAGAAGTAAACACGCAACACATCTCAACCTTGGCAATATTGCAAACAACAATGGCCACCTCACAACTAAACCCTGACAACTGCGACTTGACAACAAACATGGCCACCCACATCTTAACCTGACAGCTTAACGCTGGTCATTCGCAGTAATTCAGAAGCTAACATGGCCACTACACTGCGTAAACCCTGGCAGGGGCAGTTTTTGACAAGCAAACATGGCCACCTCACAGCTTAGCCCGTGGCAAGTATTTGACAAACAAACGTGGCCACCTCACAGCTTCAGCCGCGGCAGGGTTTAAGCTGTGGGGTGGCCATGTTTCCTTTAGAAATACTACGCCTGCCAAGGTTTGTGCACAGAAACCTGCCGTGTAGTGCCACAACTGGCGGCACTACACGCTCACCCTCTGTGATTTTGGCGCGACGCAGAGCGCAAATACTGCGCCTGCCAGCACAATCGGCACTAAACGCTTCGCACTGTGGTAAAACAGTGATTTTTAGATGCGACCGTTTGGGCGTGTAGTACCCCACTAAACGCTCCGCGCTGTGGCCGGAGACACATTTTCGCCGTTTCCTTTTTTTTTTTCCCTCTGGTTTGGCCGATTCGCACTAGGCACGGTCCTTACAATTGCGTAAGCAGTGAAAAGCAGTAGTGTACAGAACTCGTGTGGTCCAAAATCTCAGGCAAATCATCACGAGAAACAAACCAAACAACAAGAAACACAACCAAAAACGACCCGCAAATCCCCCAGCCAGATTTGCGTTTCGCCACAAAGCAAGACAGCGAAGCAACAAAGAAAGGGGCAGGGCCCAACAAGAACCAAAACAAAAAACTCTCAGATTTGCCTTGGATACAGCGACCTTAGCCACTGTATCATCCTCAAAAACATGCAAACTAATTATTATTACTAGTGTTGGTGGCTGCTGTTATCTACAGAGGATGAACCCAAAAATCCCACGAAAAAACTCGTCGCAATCTCGCCGCAAAAACCATCCACATGTTCGCACATGAAATAAAACTGCAAACGAAGAACTCACAAACGAACCCTTGACTTCAGCTGACATGTCATGTATGTTGAACTTTCAGGCGCACTCTTCTTTTTGACACCAGTGACGATGGGCTGTACGGTTCAGTCGCAACAAATATGCAGCTCCAGAAGATACCATCACCTGTGGCGATCATATAAATCGCACTGAAATGTTTGAGACCACAGCTGCCAAACACTCGCTGTGGATATTATGTTGTATGACCCCCACAGCTGCCAGTCACTCGCTGTGGATATTAAGTTGTATGTCTCCATATGGAGAACTGAAGGAAAAAGGGTGTGGAGGGAGGGGCAACCTCTTGTCCAAAAAGGATAGAGGCTACCCGCCACCCAACCCTGCTGAGCCATACGTCACGACGTGACATTGAATCCATTCAAATCTGAGTTGTATAGTAACATCGCTGCAAGAAACCTGTTCAGTGAAGAAAACGTCAAGATTGAAAAGCCACTGCAAGAAGTTGATTTCCATGTTGAAGTCACTTCCAAAGTAAAAAGTTCAAGCAAAACACCTGTCCAATAAATGACTGTTGTAATTGCAAGCACAAAGAGACTTCGAGTGATCCACAGAGAACAGAAGTCCATCAAACGGAAGAGACAACAGCAGCACGAAACACGTTTCTCACCAACACTAGTAATAAGGAGCTATCAACAAGTTGACCGCAAACTTATTACTAGTGTTGGTGGCTGCTGTTATCTACAGAGGATGAACCCAAAAATCCCACGAAAAAACTCGTCGCAATCTCGCCGCAAAAACCATCCACATGTTCGCACATGAAATAAAACTGCAAACGAAGAACTCACAAACGAACCCTTGACTTCAGCTGACATGTCATGTATGTTGAACTTTCAGGCGCACTCTTCTTTTTGACACCAGTGACGATGGGCTGTACGGTTCAGTCGCAACAAATATGCAGCTCCAGAAGATACCATCACCTGTGGCGATCATATAAATCGCACTGAAATGTTTGAGACCACAGCTGCCAAACACTCGCTGTGGATATTATGTTGTATGACCCCCCATGACCGTTGCTTCTGCCAAAACCAAAAGAATTTCTTCCAAGGCATCTTTCACACACGTCCTCATGATTCCGCTCTCAACCAGTTCTTGAATTTCACCTCTCGATGGATCATCCGCTACGTTCGAAGGGGTAGGCACTCTACTATACCATGGTGTTGTGCAGGTCGCCATTTCAAGCTTCAGGAGTGCCTCAATAAGGAAATTTGCTGTGATGTTTCTTCCGCTCCCTGAGATTGCAACGTCCCTTGCTGAATTGTTATCAATGAAACAAAGCATCGACATGGCTGAAATGTACTTCCTCCAAGCTGAAAAGGCAACTATCATCGCCAGAAGCTCTGCCTCAAAGATGATCGTCTTTTTGACACTTGATCCCAACAATTCCATCTGGTCCTCGTCAAGGGCCACGGAAAAGAAGGCCTCTCTGCGACCAACAGGATTCACAAGAACTCCTCCCAGCCCACATTTCCAGCTATCCGAAGTGGGCTCGAAACACGCATCAGTGTATATGAACCACACCGTGTCTGAGTTCAAGTGCAGCTGACGTGGCTCTGCATGTTCCAGGAAAATTGAAAACCTCTTCATTGCATCTGCAGTCCGCTTACTAAGCTTATTAGAATTAGACATCAAGGAGTGATTGGTTACTTCCCTCATACACAACTTGCCAAGCCTACCAAACAACTGGCCATCCATGAATTGCATCCTTCCCCTGAGTCGCTGTGATTCTACCAAGGTCATGGATCCCTTATCAAGGAGTGCATGTATGGTGCTGATCAGCTCTGTCGCTCTCTTTTCAGTGTTTGTAAACTTTACTACACCAGCCACTGAGTCTCCTAACATGATACGTATGCCCAATGCTCCAAACTCCTTTGCAAAGTCCTCAGCTTTGTCTCCTTCCTCAGCAAACTTCCAACCCAAAAGTTTGAATAAAAGGCAGACTGTCATGCGAGTGTTGTTTACGTGCTCTTCCCTGCAGAAAGAGACGTAATCGTCAAAGAAGCAGCTCCATATGATGCTCAATGCTTTAACGCCTATATACCAGATGGCATTTGAGATTCTCAGAAAAGAATACACACTCCTGGTTGCACCGAAGGGTGCTGCAAGCAATTGATACAGTTCCGCTTTGCTTGATGTCGGGTTATACACTGCAACGAAGGCGCATGGCAAGGAAGATTTTGCTATGGCTAATTGCTTATACGCGCTTTTCAGATCGAATGACCTGCCCCACAGTTGGACACCCTTGCTGTATTTCAAAACCTCCAAAAGCATGGCTGCAATAAAATCCACCGAGTGCGGTTTGGGCGATTCAGCCGTTTGTACTGTCTGGTTTACCTTGCTTGAGCTCAGGTCGTCTATGAGACGGATTTTTGCTGCCTGCTTCAGTCCAAATCTCCTGCTGATCACTGCATCATGCGGCAAGTCATTCAAAGCAATGGGGCCCTTGGCCCAACCCAACTCAACTTCCTCAAGCGTCTTGTTGTAGACTACTTCATCAATCTCAGTGTCCCCAGAAGAAGAGCATCTGTAAAAATTCAACACCCTGTTGGATTGTGACGAAGACATCAGTTGCTCTGTGGTCATTTCTGCGGGTCTAAATGATTTCTCAAAAATTCCAAATGGTTTCACCTCACCGACCAACTCTGTTCCATGCACCAGCTCGTCAAACACTCCCACGTCAGGATAACCAATATCCTCCAAAATTTCCTTAAACAACAGTAAGCGCTTCGGCTCCAAAATGTGTGCTGCGTGAGGAGGCAGGGATGATTTGAGTGCAACATCAGACTCTGTTAACTGCTTTGCTCTTTCTGTCCATTTTGAAAACCACTTCGCCCTTGCTGCTGGCAAACTTTGCACACTTGTAGGTTTGAAATTGTTCCTTATGGCCACCTGCAGAACTTCAGGTACCAGCCTCGCAAACAACTTGGGGTGGCCCCTTGCTACTGCTTCTTCCATGAACTCCTTGGGACTGAACGGAATGCCCCAAGCCTGCTCAAAAAGATCTGCCCCAAACACTTCAGCTGTGTCCGTTGTTGTTGTTGACACAGGATGACTTTTCCCCCCACTTATCCGAAGGGGAGTCTGACGCAACAGTTGGGCCCCCGCTGGAATCTCCTTCATCTTGGATGAGCAAGCCGCCGGAATTTGCCAGGCGTCTTTGAGACGCTGCATTGGGGCAATGGGTACCTCGCACAACGCTTCGTGAGGACCTTGAATCAAAACAACAGATTTATGTTCTCTCACCACAGGCGGCATCTTGGATGCCTTTGGTTGCGCTGTTGCGGCCGCTCTCATAGACTGTAGAGTTACCTCTGTACCAGCAAGTTGCTCTGATGGTGGACTCCAACCAAATGATGTCATGATTTCAGCAAAAACTTTTGCAATTGTATGTGCAAGACCCCGTGGGTAAGCTGTTTCTTCGCTAGTGGAAAAATGGGTACCTGTTTCAGACTTCACCAGCCCCCAAGGTTTGTGATGATGATGCTTGCCTTCTCCCGGACAGCATCTATTGATGTTAGAGAAAGCTGGATGGTTCCATGCCAAAACTGTCCACTTCGGTCGCTCACCACCGTATGCACATGCCTGATGTGCCGTATATTGCATTGGCACTCCAATATTTTTCCAAAAACGCGTCAGCCAAAAAAGCGATGATCTAGGATTTTCCACAACTACAATGAGCCCCATTGAATGTGCCAGTGCAACAACTTTTGCAACAAAGTCATACAGTGTATTCGCTGCTGATACCCTTGCTCTATCCTTGGCACCCAGCCCAGGCAAGCCTTCCGGCCACACTGCAGATCGTAAAGGTATCGGGCCTGGGATTTTCCTGCCTTTCTCGTCCCTCAGTTGGATGTTCCTTGCCAAAGAGCAAGTTCCGCAAGGGGGTGCTAAAAACAATCCAACAACCAAAGGTGAACTCATCCACTGAAGAAAAAGTTGCTGGTCTTCAAGCTGAGTAAGATCGAGACGTTTTGCCGCTGACACCGCCTTGTCTAAGACGTGACCGACCCCAAAGGAATGGGTGAGTCCCACTTCCTTCAAGGATGCTGTTACCCTGGCACTGCCACAAAAAACCTCAATGACCACAGGTCCTTTCAACTGCTCATTGCTAAAATCAAAAGATGTCAATTCAACACCATGCATTGGTTGATGCTGCTGAACGGACGGCATTTTCTCAGCTGAGTCGCCTGCACTCCGGCGATCACGTTCAAATTTCACTGGAAAAATGGTTTCAAAACTGCAAGTTGTTGGTATGTCAGTCTTCGCTGCCATTGTGTCCTTTTTCTGCTCTTTAATTGAGTTACTGCAGCCAACACGCTCTTCGCATGAATCACTCGGCCCAGCACAACCTGAAAAATTTGTACCTGCAAAAATGTTGTCATCCACCACACATCTCTTAGATGTATCACTGGTCAATGCTTCAACGCAATCCTGGCCCTGGAGTCAAGTCGACTCATGCTTCTGGATGCTATGCGTGCCATAGCACTTGGCACATATGTGCAACCCACGTCTGCACTTTGCTCCATCTGCTGCTTCACTGCATCCAGAACCACTGTTAAATCCAAAACATATTGCCTCACCCGCCGGATTTGATGCCGTGCCGCCCAGCTTAAAGATATGGTTCGGCACCCTCACCTTGCCTTTTCCGCCTTTCTTACCTCCTTTGTTCTTGATCCATGGCTTTTGGACCTGCAAATTGGCTCCTTTTCCTCCATGGCTGATAGAAGGCTTTGTAATCTTCGTCGGGCTGGGCGTGGCATCCTTCTTTGCTATGAGAGGCAGCAACGAGAAAGAAACACGATAACTCTGGAGACTCTCCATGAGCTTTGTATCAAGCGCCAAGCTTCCCATCTCATCTCTCTTTGGCTGCACGCCTTCCTCCAACAACATCTGCCACACTGTTCGATCAGCTGTCACCAATTGACTCACTGTGGTCCTCGCGTACCCTGTTGGTGGGTCCCTATGCAAATGACCACAAAGAGTTGTGAGGTACCTGGTGTAACTCTCATGGGTGATGAGATCTGCAAACACCAGTGCTATGCCGCGCCGCTGGAAAGCTTCTTGTACTTGGAGTGCTGAGGTGACAGTCATGTCTGGGGTGTCTTGCTTTTCCTTCACAACCAGGCTCTCTGCAGAGATATCCAACTGTTTCGTGGGCGACTTCTGGTTCAAAACTTCATGAGTCCTCGAGATACATTTTTCCGGAGGAATGTATTTGATTTCATTGAGTTGCATCATGCTGGCCGTGGTGTCCAACAGTGCATGGCCAGGTTCCAGTGGGCCTTCTATGAGGAGGCCTGTCAATCTCTGCTTGATCGCCCTCATTTTGGTCTCACGCTCCGCCACCGGCACCTTCTTTATGGAAGAAGCATCGGCCGTATTCACTTGGTCCTGCAAGGACGCCAGAACAATTGTTTGACTCTCGAAGAGCAGCCTCTTGGCACCTGCAATATCTGCTATGGTGGCACCTGTCAACAATTGGCCTGTGACCCAAGTCTCGAACGCCTCATCTGCTATGTTCTGTCCTGGTTGGCCATGTGCGTATGCAAAGGTTCCAAAAGTCTGCAACCCTGTCCTTTTCAAACTGCGCTTGAGCTCCTCCGATAGCTTCAAATCGATGGTGCGCTGCACAAATTGCGCTTCTGAATCCAGTAAGCTCGCCATTGATCACAAGCTACAAGGTGCACACTAATGAAAGCTATTTGACAAGTGTCACATCGTTCACCAATCAACCTGAAAGTCGTGATAGGTTCTGAGAAAAAGTCTTTCCAAGTGCATTCATTTCCATATAAAACAAAACAGTTCATGAATGAAAGCTTCAAAAATGAAGGTGGGCCATGACTCAAACTCAGTAGCATTACTACCATCACATCTTCCTCACGAGCCACGCTCCATGAATCCATAAATTCACTCTCAATCAATCTTTCGAATTTTCAACACTCATGTCCGCACTAAAAAGTCTTGCAAATCTGCAACAAAATAACTCATACCCTTTCTCTTTCCAATCCAATCTTGACATGTGCAATCATGCTGCCATGCAGCCAATGAGGTGCCACGCAACCTAACCCTTGCACCAGAGTGTGCCAAGACTCACCATGTGAGAGCACACTTTTTTATACTGCAGGTTTCGGCAAGAGTCCGTCTTTCGTCGCATTGGTTTTACAGCGACGGCAAACGTCAACCGTGTCAAATCTCTCCACGGTCTTGTAGTTGTTGTTCAGAGCTCTGCCGCATGAAATGACCTTGGTTGCCAGGCCTCCCTTCACTCCAGAGTCAACGTAGTGCACCAAGTGTGACACTTTGTGCATCACAAATTTCCCCTCCAGAGGGCCAGCTGCAACGTGCCTATAGCACTTGGGTGCTGGTGGCACTATCTCCTCTTCGGAGTCAGAACCTTCCAACGACTCAGAGCCATCTGACGAGGCACTGCAAGCCTCTTCACACAGTTGGCTGTCAGCCACCGGAACTTCCATATCCAGCTCCTGACATGCAGCATCATCTTCAACCTTGATCACTTCTGCATCTGGCAACTCAGGTGCTTCAACAACAGGCATGGCCACTGGGTAATACCCGCTTCGAGGCGCGTCAGGCAGAAACTCTCCTCTGTATATCTGCAGAAGAACCTCTTGCAGGCGTGACACCGCACCTATTGACAAGTCCCTTGCATAGACAGCACTTGAATCTGTGTATGCACTCACATGCCGCCCCAAAATGGACTTGTCCTGAGCCGCCATGCCTGCCTTCGCCGCCCAAGAGAGGACTGTCGCTTTGAGTGAGTGCGACGACAACTTTGGCCCGCTCTCCTTGTCATGTGTCATGTTCTCACCCAACATGACTCTCAAAAACCTTGATACCTCTTGTGAGGTAAGGCCCCTTTTACAGTGGCTGTTCCCATCGGCACCCGGCGGTCTGAACAAAGGTCCACCGATATGGCCTTCCAGGCTGAGGCCATAGTCTTTGAAGGCCATCTTCGCAGCCGTGATCCACTCTCGCCCTTGCACACCTATGGCTGGCAGAACCACGGGCAACAACCTGGATTTCTGAGATGCTGTCCTCGAGGTCTTGTGCGTCCTCGTTGTAATCTCAAGATATCCTCCTTCTGGACCCAAATCTATGAAAACGTCTTCAATGTTTTGCAAATCACTGTGTCGACATCTCCCATACAGGGCTACAAGGAGGTATGCAGCAACTGCCCGGTCAACCACATTGCAATCTGTAGCATCCAACAATTCATGCAGCATGAGAACCTGCCTGATCGTGAGCACCAACGCCTGCTTCAACGGCGCCTTGACGGCATGCATCAGGTCAGCCAGTCCTTTCAACCTTTTGCTGTTGCAAATGCTCTCCAAATCGTTGAAGCCAAAAACATGAAATGCATATGCACATGCTGACAGAAAACTTGAACCCTTTGTGGGAGCCGCTCCAGTTTCTCTCAACTCCTTCAAATACTGCCATGCCTCCTGCTCCTCAAAGGGCCTGCCATCATTGTCAGAACACTCCGCCCTCCAGCGCAGGAATTTCAACAAGGAGTTTGCCCTGGTGATAGCCGTGGTCCTAGATCTGATACCAATCACAGCTTCAATAGTTTCAAAGGCCCCTCGCTTCTGATCATCCATGTTTCCAAAACTGATGATGTCCCTGCCCGTCGAGGATGCCAGCATGTTCACCCTGATGATGCAGAACCATTTTTCCACTGCTGTTTCCAGAAGACCAGTGCGTTGCTGATGAAATGACAAATCAGACACCGCAGTTAAAGCATGTTCGAAAAAGGCTCCAACCAGCTCTGGACGTTTTGCCGTCGGCTCGTGCAAGTCTTCCAAGGTCTCTGCAACAGACTCCAGGTTGTAATTGACCCAGATTCTTGGCTGCTGAAAAACATGCTGAATACCAGTTGCAGGTTTCTGAAAGACCTTCTTGGAAACTCCACGCTCCCAAGGCATCTTAACAGTCAACTGACCCCTGGTGCCCAAGTATGCATGCGACAACAGTTGCTCAAAACTGGATTCCGAAATCACTGGCCCTCTTGGCACCTGACTTGCACCCAATGCCAAAGCCGCACAATTCCTGGAAACCAGTTGTGCCTGACCATGATTTGGACCTGTGGTTGAATCCCACGGCAACTCATGTCTACCAAGTTCACCGTCACCAAAAGCACTGTCATCTAAGGCACCACCACCTGACAAAAAATCTGAGGTCTCGGCATTTCCAAGCTGTTCGGCCACACTCAAACTGAGGTCATCGCTGACAGGCATGTTGTCAGTACCTTCTGGGGACGCGCCTTCAGAGGTCCTGTACTCCGTCAATGTTTTCACCCTCCATGGCATGATTCTCAACTGCCTCTGCAGACTCACTAGTGTCAGAAGGCTCACTACTGCCAGAAAATTCTAGGTCCCAGTCTCCCCCACCTTGTCCGACGGCTGGCTGCAACGTTGGCTGCACTGGTGGTGTTGGCACTGAAAAAGACCCAAAATATTGAATTCTGACAGCTGTAGCGTTGAGAAGGAGGTCCCTGGTGTCAAGCAGCAAATAAACACAAGTACGTAAATAACGATGGGATTCCGCAGGAGTCAAAAATGCCAAAATGATGGATTGAAGGCCAAACCACCCGGGAATATGGACAATGAACCCTTCCTGAGGATCACACTCGGAAAATCTGTCAAGGCTAATCCACATTCACGACTCCAAACAAAAGCCACCCAATGCAAATGCAAGCTGAAATGAAGCCACTTGAAAAAACCAGGAAATCACGAATGCCAAACTGAGCTGAAACGACCGGCACAGGTCGCAGAGCGAGGGGAGCCGAGGCAGCTACCCTCCCCCGCGCGCGCGCTCCCATGTAGGAGCAACCTCTTGTCCAAAAAGGATAGAGGCTACCCGCCACCCAACCCTGCTGAGCCATACGTCACGACGTGACATTGAATCCATTCAAATCTGAGTTGTATAGTAACATCGCTGCAAGAAACCTGTTCAGTGAAGAAAACGTCAAGATTGAAAAGCCACTGCAAGAAATTGATTTCCATGTTGAAGTCACTTCCAAAGTAAAAAGTTCAAGCAAAACACCTGTCCAATAAATGACTGTTGTAATTGCAAGCACAAAGAGACTTCGAGTGATCCACAGAGAACAGAAGTCCATCAAACGGAAGAGACAACAGCAGCACGAAACACGTTTCTCACCAACACTAGTAATAAGGAGCTATCAACAAGTTGACCGCAAACATTGCGGCGGTGCATGAAGTGTAGTACCTGATTGCCCAGACCGTCTTACCTGAGAACAGCAAAGAGAGTCCAATATTGTAGGCAGACTGATGTGTGGTTCGACAGAGGCCGCCTGTATGGACGATTTGTCAATAAAGCAACTTCCGCATCGCTGCTGTTCACCCTGTATTGTTCAGCGTATGCCAGGCAGTCTGTTCCTGTCAGTATACACCACCGCAAGGGACTGTAATCTATTTCCCCCCCATAACGGGGAGGAGAGCACTGACAGCCTGCAACATGGTGTGAGCACTTGCAGAAACCGTCACGTGACTTGTGCCCAAGACCCTAAGGCCGTGGGTGAAAAGGTGGCTAAAGGCCTGACCGGCTCAGTACGGCCATGACAGACAAATGATGTTTCGACCATAACATGGGCTCGTGAGCACTTCCAGTAGAATACTGCAGCTAGGTATACAAAAGTCGCATTCGCATTGCTGTAAGACTTGTTCACCAAAACGATCAAAGATGAGGTGGTTCGGTGCGCCAGCACCAGATACTCAGACAGGAGTCACTAGGCGTCATCGTCCCAGCAAGTTCTGTGGAGAGGACCGGATGCACAGGAAGGCATCTGTATATTCCAGACAAAGCCACTCTCCCACCGAGTGGGCCATATGCCAGAGCAATACAGAAAATCCGCACAACGAACCATGTGGGCAGGCTTTGCTGCACTCGGGCGCTCCAGACTGAACTGCAGGAAGCACAACTGGACAGCGCCAGTAGAGCTCACTGCAGTGCAGCCTAGTCCATGGCTCTACCGGGAATCTACCGCCCCTCAAGAAAACACACAGGAAACAAAACAGAGAGAGAAGAGCCCATCCCAATACAGCCAAAGAGGAAGCCACTTGACAAATTAAACTCAAACAAACAAACGAATTCAAAAGGGGATCAACTAAAAAAGGGGGGGACGGTGAGCAAAGGCTGTCCCACCTCGGATAAATCCTTAGTCACTACCGGATGAGATCAATGTAGCCATGGTGAAAAGATGGGTGACTGTGCAGAGCTGTAACCTCGGTATCCAGGCAACAGAGGAAGCAAAAACAACACACGCCCAAACAACACGACACCTGCCATCAAGGGGGAAGCAAAGAGGGGGGAGCGGCCAAAGTACAACCCATGCAATGCTACAAGCCAACAGAGGAAACGAGGAGAGGAGCCAGGAGGCAGCAGAGGACAGAGAGAGAGAGGACACACACGCACTAGAAGGGATACGAACGTGCCTTAGCGGAGTCCAAGAAGGGGACAAGGATCATACAATGATGAATACCTCAGTGAGGGAGCACACAGCACCCCAACAACACAGGAAACATGGTGTAGAGGGAAAGATCCCCACACAGGGCCAAGGCCTTTGTTGCCATGAGTCATAATGAGGAGGGGAAACAGTGCGCAACAAACACTCCACGCGCAGAGGCACGGCAACCAGGCCGTCGCCGGAAGCAACGATACCCAGAGGGAGGGACCAGTAAAACCTGGACCAAGGCGCCAACGAGGACCATCCGAGGGGGAGGGAGGGCTACGGCAGGCAGGGACCAAAAAAACCAAAACAGAATCAACAACCACTACGCCTACTGTAGCTCTGCAAATTGCAAAAACTAGGGGTAAGACGACGAATTCACGTACCTTAACTAGTGGGAAGGGTGGGAGAGGGGTAGTCTCGTCAGTATTACGTCAGGGGATAACGAAAACAGTTGCATCATCATCTATGATTGTCAGGCACCGGCTAAGAGAGCGTGCGCTCATGCAGTAGGCTTCATGGTGTGAGGAGGCCTTAGTATGATCTAAGCTCTCGACTGGACAACACATTCTAAGCACTAGTGCAAGGGGAAAGCATGCTGCTCGGTTTGTTATGCCTAGGCTATCACTCACACATAAAAGCACATGAGTGTGGCTACCAGCTGTTGGAGGTCTGAATCAGTAGGGGTCAGGCATGTGGCAGAACATTTTTGACAAGTATGAATGAGGAAGAGCTGTGTCACCTACTGCACACCAGTGCACCTGTCGCGTCTTTGGACAGACACACCAGTGTGGACAGTAACCTCCCAGGCATGGGTCATGAGGAACCTGACAATTATAAATGAGGAAGAGCTGTGTCCCCTACTGCATACCAATGCACCTGTCACGTCTTTGGACAGACACACCAGTATGGACAGTAACCTGAAGTAGAAGTGACGAAAGACCAAATGGTGATTGAAGTAAACTCCCACTTCCGTTGCTGATGAAACAAAAGCCAATGTTGTATGAGGGACAAAGCGGAGTGAAACAGAAATGAGACACAGGGGAGGAAGAGACATGGTGGACACAAAAAGGGGAAAAGTGAGGAGAATAGGGGTTGGAGGGATCATGTCGTACCTCTCATGAAATGTTCCAAATGATGCTTCTTATCCGATGTGATAGTGTCGTTCCATTCATTGGTGAGTGCAAACGATACTGGGTTAACTGCTTGCTGAGCAATAGCTCGCTGATGTAGCGCTCGAATCGCCCGTTGATGTTCATCCAGATCTTCCGGAGGAACCCTCCTGCGGACTTTCCTATCTGGGAAGGTTCGTTCCCGCAGGTTGGCTTGCAAGGCATGTCCCGCTACATAGACTGCAGGTTGCTGGAAGAAAACACGCGCTGCAAATCTGTTGAAATGCACTGTCCATTCAGCAAACATATGGCTGTGCGACAGTTGAGTCCTGAGTCGCGCTACCGTTTGATGCAGGCTCCCATTGGTATGCCACAATCGCAACAGACTGTAGTTGGAAGGCCAATCAAGTGGGCACAGTGTGGCTGTTTCTTTCCATTTTTCAGGTGTAAGCCCTTCTTGAGAAGGTATGATCACTTCCAGAGTAGTGCGAGTCGGTCCCAGTGGTTGGAGACCTCGCATCATGTATGGTTCAACGAGCCTGAGGTGTATCCATGGATGAGCTCCTGGAAGCATCCAGCCATTTAAAAGTCTTCATCCAATCCAAGACGAAAACCAGGCATGGTTTTGGCAGCAAATTTTACTGCTTGGAGCAGCTGTTTTGCTCCTTCCACTGGAGTCTCGTCACAGGAACGTTTCGCGCACGCGATATTGATTACACATTTTCGCCGTTTCCTGGCGTTCGGTTGTAATTATTTTTTAAAGATCAATACAGTTTAGAAAAAAGAGCCACTACACGCTACACGCTGGACCTGTTTTGCTGGTTTTTTCCACGTAAAAGGCGTGTAGTGCCACAACTGTCGTACTAAACACTCACCCTCTGTAGGTTCAGTGTCACACACGCCGTAAATACCGCACCTGCCACCAAAATCTGCACTAAACGCTGTCAGTTTTCACACCGTGAATGCCAGAAGTATTGCACATGCCAAGCAAATCAAACCCGCAGGGGCGGCAGCAAAGTTAGCGCAAAACAGCGCGCTTTCTGTAAGACGGGAAAAAGGCATTTGCATCCTCTGTTGCAACTCCGGCTCTCGACCATGCGAACTTGGAGCAAAACAAACAATCTTTCAGGATGAGCCTGGCGGCAGGCTTCAAGGCAGCCTCGAGGCTATAGAAATTGCAAAAAAACAAAAAATGCAAGGATGAGGGAGAATTTTCGAGGCAAGCCTCGACGGATTAAATTAGAGAGCAAATGCACATGAATGTCTATATTTTTAAACAGGTTTCACCTTCATTGGAAGGGCCGTTGCAACTTTACGCTTTACATGGGCCAATGTTCCTTTTTGTTGACCATCTTGGCTTTTCGCTGTCCCCTCTCGGTCTATTCCCAATTGACATTGAGTGCGGGATAAAAATTGGAGCTGTGTTCGTATCAGCAAAAAATACACTTTCTAGGCACCAACCCACCACCCAGATCCAGGAAGTGTGTCAACGACATCTGTCCAAAACAAACAGCCACCTGCACCAAATGCAAGCAACCAAAACAATCAGTCCAAGCAGACAGGAGTCAAGAAATTCAGCAGCCCCAAACGAACGCCAACAAGACATTCAGCAGCCAAAGACTTGAGTGTTTGGCGACAAGCCTGCTTCATCATGGCCCCGAAAACAGGATCCAAAAATCTAGTAGAAACATGGCGGCCATAAAGGGACCTCGACTGTACTAAGCTATCA